CAAGGTTCTTTGAGAACAACATCCTCCTATTTGTGTGTTGTTTTTTTCCCCCCACTTCTTGTCAAAGTCAAAGTGTCTTTAATGTCATTCACACCACATGTGGTACTTGTGGTGGAACAAAACTATGTACACAGGGCCCCAGTTACATCCAACAATAAAATGTAAAATAAAAACAGTAATAAGATCTAAGATATGAACTAAGAAATACGCTAAACTAAGAATACACTAAGCACTACTAGTACAAAACAATGCACCAAACAACAGCAGCACAAACATGAGTCTGTGTGAGCAGGTGAGGACGAATGAACACAGCAACATGAAACAGATCAGCAGCATGAGATCAGCATCATGGATAATCAGCAGCACATATCATCAATCAAGTGGCATTACAGTGATTTTTTTCACCATGATAATCCTGACTAGAGATTCTTGAGTCTAACAGCCTCAGGGTACAAGCTGTTCCTCAGTCTAGTGGTTCTAGACTTAATGCTCCCCAACCTTCTGCCTGAGGGGAGCGGGGCAAAAAGTGTGTGTGCTGGGTGAGTGTGGTCCTTCATGATGCAGGTGTAGATTTGAGCACATTTAGAACATCATTCTCCAGGTTTGACTGCTGAAGGCTCAAAATGTGCCTGGTCTGATGGATTTCAGTCAGCTCCTGGTGACGTGTATTTATGGTCAGTTGTTTTTAACAATTTTATAAAAATTAAAACACTGAACTCTGCAGGCCGATATGAGTTCTCGTAATTGTTGAATAATGAAGGATCCTACTTAAAGCACAAACTTAAAGACAGTATACAATTAGGCCAGTTTGTTGGATATCCACTTAACATTTTTAAATAAAAATAAATACTTTAGTTTACTTTAACTTTGTTTTTTGTGTGTTTTATTCTTCCAAGTCATCAAATATTCCTTCTCAGCAGCTTGTCTTAAAGATACTCCAAAATAATCTGGTGGCTTTGAGAGAAAGATCACGCTGTGAGACTAGAAGTCGACTTAAAGTGGCCATCAAACTACCAGCATGATGTAGTGAACATGTTTTACGCTGTGTACTATCATTCACATATTTGAAAATGACAGGAAATCTGCTAAAACTAGCCATTTTCATTGTTGGTAATAATTTAGATGAAATTCAGTTTTATTTTAGTTTTTCCCCAAAGTCTGAAAGAGCCGCTGCAGAGGCACCAGAGAGCCACGTGTGGCCCCAGAGCCGCAGGTTGCAGACCCCTGGGCTAGAACAACAACCATCATGTCTCTCTCTTTGTTTCCTGCTTTTTCGTCAGCCAGACTAATTAAAATTGAAATGACGTTAGTAAATTTAAGAACGAAATCAGGACTTTTCCTGAATCCAGGCTGCATCCTGTCACCATCCATTAACGGTTACACTTGGGTGTCTCCTCTGTGGAAAACGTCTGCATGGGATTTGATTTTGTGATTGTCTCTGCCCTCAACATTGAACAGTTTAAGCATTTATGATGTATCTCACACCTCTTTCACTATATTTTTTAAACATATATCTTCAGTGTTAGACCTGGTTTGAGACTTAATGGAAGCGCTGCATTAATTAAGCTTCTTATTAAGGAGCAGTACCTCTCAGCTGTCACGCTGTTGGTTTGAAATGCACCTCTTACAGCTCGCCTGTCTCTCCTCTCTTGCAGGAAATATTCCCCGCATATTTTGGCCCGAAGTATGACGCAGCGCTCGAGATGCTGGTGTGGGAGTTTATATCGAGACTGGAGGAGCTGCTGCCTGTCCCCGACTTCACGCAGGTGCAGATTTATTTCAGCTCAAGCTTAAAAGCATCAACTTAAATGGCGAAGTGACCTTTCTTGTTGTTGCTGATGGTTTGTGCTTGTTTTGTCGGTACAGTGATGGTAATAATAACTGGCATGCGTTGTGCTGCGTCTCCAGGAGGTTGCTCTGACTTTATTTTAAACTGAGCAGCATTTTGAGGTCCCAAAGGGCTCTGGGGCTCAGGTGATGGAGGGCGGAGGGGGTAACTCGGTGCAGACACAGTGTCCCAATAGACCCTGTTGTTTTTTAAAACTGGGCCACTGGAGAAAAACACAACAAGGGCAAAATACTAACAAAAACACACCACAAAAACATTAAATAACCACATTTACTTAGAATAAACATGAAAAACATTAACAAATCCTACAAATTTAAGGACTTATGTTTATCTCAAGGTTTATTTCTTCCTTCTAGGATTATTTTAGCTCATTAACTATCTTAATATTTATATGAAAGAAATTAAAACACAATGTACTTTGGTGTATAATTATTTTTAAACACAGCTAAGAACAAGGGATGACTGGATTCAGTAAACTTCATGACAAAAGTGGGATTAAATAGACGAGTCGTGGAAAAGATGTTCAGACGAATTAAAGTTATTCTGTCCAATGAAATGAGACGAGAGAGACTGAAGACTTACTGTTGAATAAAGTTTAAATAAATAAATACTGTAACAAAATGAGTCTGGTTGTTATCAAACCCCCAAAATTATAACATTGTCTTACGAGCGTACTCCGCCGCAACACTTTGCAAGAAAAGTTTGACCATTTTGAATGAAATAACTAATTTATTTAAACAACTTGTGACTTAAATCTGAACTTTGAAGATGATTTCTGAACTCGCAGTGTTAAACTGCAAGTAACAAACTTTTAAAATTAATTTTAAGCCTGAAAAGTCTTAAATATGGAGAAGAGTTTTCCTGCAAAAGGGAAAACCGGTGCAATAAAGAGTTCCTTTGAAAAGTTTTTTCACATTAAACTGACTGAAACGTGCAGATGTTGGTTCAGTTCCTTTAGAACAGCCAGATGTTTGTTGCTGCTGCAGCTGTCTGATAGATAAAATCAACTTCTGCTTGTTTTTGTCGGCAGAGTTCAAAGTTCGCTAGTCCGTAACTTCGACACTGTTCGTTCACTGTGAGTCAGAATTGTACAAAAAGCTGTTTTAGTTACAACTTAACAAAATAAATGAAAGAAAAACACAAGGCCGTTCGGTTGTATCTGAGATCTTCTGAAGCAGAGACGGCAGCGTGGGCCCAAAGGTGTTACAGTGTTTATTCTTTTTAAAGGTGCCTCAAGAGTTAAACAAGATCTCATGAACATGTAAGCAACATCACTGGGTTTGCAAACATGGCCTGTTAGGAGCAGGACAAGAGTGACAGGGAGTAATATTAGTGTAAATAATTCATTTGTAGGATGTTTCATCTTTTACATGGTTTATTTATAATACGGGGCGGTAAATTTATGAATTCGTTTGTTTTTAGAAACCGTTCAATGTCATTAAATGATCAAACTTTAGGACTTCAAGACCCACTCGTGGCCATTTTTTGTTTCCATTTTTTTGTTTAAACCTTTTAAGATTACTTAAGATTATTATAATTATGGATTTGGTCAGCTGGTCCCTCAGCGCAATTGATTAAAAAAAAATTCCACCAGACCACAGGGTGCTGGAGAGCCCTCATGCCCTGAACGGACCCACGCAGCTGGATATGTCATTGATTCCTGGAGTGAGTAGAAGATGGTGTGCCTATCTGTGCTGTCCGTGGAGGACGTAGAAGATGTGTACACGATTGGGTTTATGATGACAGGGTTTCTGCTTTTTGGACTCGGCGGATAACTAGGATATTGACAAATTAGGAAGACGTCGGCAGCAGTTTTGGCCATGGTAAAGCTGCCAGCCTTATGTGAAGGACTAATCCGTGCCTCGAGCTCTCCAACTCATGCTTAACGAGCTCAACCGCAAGCTGGACGCGATTTCTGAGAATGGTAAGCCACCTGCGGCTCCTGGAACTCGCCGGCATGAAGGATTCGACCTTGGAGAAAGCTAACGAGCACGGACCGAGCGGAGTGTCCACTAATTCTGGCTGTTTGGATTCACCATTGAGTGTACCAGCAGAACTTGAAGGGCAGACAGAAAACAAGAGTCTGGCGGCCCAAAGCAACTGTTTATCTGAATTTGGCCTCCCCGCTGGCCTTGGACAGGCCAACTTGTCTCAAATTGCTTGTGGAGGATACTTAAACTTGAAGCCCCACCCCTTCCCGAGGACATCTGTGACCTTATCAGAACCATGATGCTGATAGACACTGTACCATCTTATCAGAACTTTGGAACTTTCTGGAGTGTCCATGGAGGTCTTTTGGCCAGGACATGGTGTGAGACATGATTTTTTTTTTTACTTCCTCCACCCTCATGTTCTCTTTTTCCCATCTGCTTGTATGTAACAGGTCTCTCTTGTAAATGAGTCTTCGAGGCTCAATGGGAACTAACCTGTATAAATAAAGGTCTAATAATACCGGTAATCATAATAACTTGCGTTTTAGTCTGTACGGTCTAATGTGTTTCAGTTTTTGTGATTGTCACATTCAGTAAAATGATAAATACATTTGATTAAAGTTTCAGGTGTTTCACAGATTGATATTTGAATTTGCTAATAAGATTCAATAAGGTTTCTAACGTTAGGCACATTTTTCTGCAAATCATACCCCTCCGAATCAACCTCTTTTTTTTTAAGTTAGCTGCAGCATAACGCGTGCAAAGTAGAACAATAAAGGCCTGATAAAGGTTGTAACTTTACTCTCTTCCAGTTGACGGCTTTGCTCACAGACGCTCCGTCGTTTCTGAACGACTCCTTGCAGTCAGTTTTCTCACCTGAGGACATGAAGGCTGTGCTCGATCATCACAGAAACCTCGGCCACTTTGAAGAGAAAGGTACTCGAGGCTCCTAGTGGCGGCAGATGTTTTTGGTTAACGCTGTAAAAAAATGTTTTCAAAGGGAAAAATGAATCTTTTTGTCCTATGGCAAAAGTTCAAGGTTTTGTTTGTCAAACGGTAACTATTTATTCAAAATCCTCTCAATTCTTGTGCCCTAGTTAGATATTTTTGCATTTTTTTTTAAAGATTTTAGTGCAGGTGCAAAGATAAAAACACAGTTTTGATGTAATTGACAGCTGTTGCTTTGTCAGGAACACATTTTTACTCTCAACTTTAGATCAAAGATTATTACCGATGGACAACTGCATCCTGTCCTCCCTCTCGCTCCCTCCCGGGTCCAGACATGTCACGGACGCAGGGTCCAGCTCACCGACTCCTAAAGACTCGACCCTTCCAGAACCCAAAGGACTTGTCAGCCCTCCCATCATCACGAGTGACCCGGAGAGGCCGAATACGAGGAGTTCTGACTCTGCGAGGCAAAGGCTGAAGCAAGAAAGGGACTCCGGCAGCCGTTCGCTGCGGGGTAAGGACAGGAACGTGCAGAACTCGACGAAGGCGCGTCACGAAACCATCGACCTGACTGTGTCCAACGAGGCTGCGGACACAGATTCAGAGGAGAGCAACCTGAGCTTATCGGCACCTCGGAGGCTGAGGAAGAGGAAGCTGAGCGGAGGTGTGGACGTTCCTGCGAAGAAACCCGTGGAGGCTTCAGCTTTCTTGTAAGATGAGCAGAAACAGTATTTTGTACACAAAAAGACATCACATTGTGAGTTTCTGCTGCTTTAATTTACCATCTTCTGTTTGTTTTATCACTCACAGGTAAAGATTTTAATATTTTCTGTATTAAAGCATTTTACCCAGTATCTCCCAATACTTCAGCTGTGACTAACACAAGAGGGCTGTTTCTCTCACACAGCGTTTAAATGAGAGCAACATTCACCTTTTTTAAGATTATTATTGAAATACTAGAGAAATTGCATTTCCTGCGAAAATGCAGTGTGAATGCTTATTGCAGAAGAACTTGCTGAAAAACAGCTGAAATTAGCTAAAAACATGCAGAAATGTAGCTGAAATGGAAGAACAAGCCTAATTTAGCAGAAGAAAGCAGAAAGAACATATTTGCTGAATGTGATTTTAATAAGCAGAAATGAGCACAAAAATTAGTAAATTAGTTTAGATTCACAAAATAAACAGCTGAAAAGTAGCTAAAAAGTCTGAAAGAAGCTTAAACTACCAGAAGGAACTTGAGAGAGCACAATGGTGCCCGATTAGGCTGAACGAAGCATAAATGAGCACAAAAAATTGATTTTTTGTTTTCTCTAAAAAGCAGAAATTTGCAAATAACAGCTGAATAGTGGCTAAAAAATGTCAGAAAGAAGCCTAAATTAAAAGAAGAAAGTGGAGGGAGCACTTTTTTGCTGAATTAGGGTGAATAAAGTTTAAATGAGTACAAAAAATGTGGAATTAGCTGGAAAAGCTAAAATTAGCATAAAAGCAGCTAAACAGTGGCTGAAATATCTGAAACTTGCAGAAATAAGCTAAAAGGAGCGTAACAATCTGAAATTAGCAGAAATAAGTTAGAAGAAGCACAAAATGTTGTAGTTAACAGAAAGAAGCTGAAAGGAGCACAAAAGAGCTCAAAACTGCTGAAATTAGCTAATTTTTTTGTTGTTGTTGCACAAGGAAGCTGAAAGAAGCTGAATCCGAACAAAATGTGAAAGGAGCAGTAAAATGTAAACAGATCTAAAGATTTGAAGGATGTAGAATGAGCTCAATTAATTTTCTGTGAGGAAAAAAAATGGTAGAAAAGGCTAAATATTTCAAAAAGCTAAAGTTGCACCAATACCCAAAGTCACAGCAGGATTATCCTGAAAGAGCTGAACGTTTTGATTTATGATTTGTTGAAATAGTGCAAAAATTGTGGAACGAGAGCGATGCAGAAAAACGTACGGAATAGATAAAGTAGTCGGAATAATAAATTTAAACAGGATCACAATAGTACGAATGCTTAATAGTCATTCACACAATAATAACCCTTTCACATTTAATTAACCACATTTAATTGATGGCTTTAGCCTCAGCTAATCGACCTTAGCCAACGCAAAAATGGCTGTAACTTAGTCGGACTCACAGATCATTTTAATTTTTAATCTTTGCAGGGATTCCTCCGTAGACGGTGAAAATTCCAGTGAATCTCCTCTCATCTCCATTTGGGGAGAATATACAGGTTTGTGCTTCTTGTTTGTGGCTCTTCTCCTATTTGGTTCCGTTTCGACCACCTCTTCCTGTGTGATCGCAGATTCTCAGGAACGTGCTTTTCCGGTGGCAGTGGACTCGAAGGTTCCCTGGTCAGACGACGAGACGCTCCACCTGCTTGACATTTGGGGGAAGGACTCCGTGCAGCGAGCGCTGAAGGGCTGCTTGAAAAACCGACACATTTTCACTCAGATCGCGCAGAAGATGGCCGAGAGGGGCCACATGAGAACGGTGGAGCAGTGTCAGACGAGGATCAAACGGCTAAAGAAATGCTTCCGCCGGAGCAATCGGTACCGTTTCTCTTTCACTCGTGAAATAGTGAAGAAAATGTGCGTAACCTCTATTAAAAATGCCGTTTGTTTTTCTCTCTGATCTACTATTAGGGGGAACTCGAGGCAAGATCATAAATTTTATTCAAAGCTGGAGCAGATTCTCAGCTCCTCGGCTGCTCCTGAGGTAAGCTACGACGTGGAGGAAGTCATCGATGAAGACGAGTCCCAGGACGGTGATGAAGACTTGCAGTTTATCGGCCAGACTGGCCAGCTGGAGATTGGTAAATGTTGAGATGAAAAGACCGTTTGAAATTAGTTTTTTTATTTTATTTTGTCAGATTAAAATCAAACATCTCCTGTTTTTTCAGCCCTGTGCTCTTTTTTTTTCTTAGCTCTTTTCTCTCCCACCTATTTGAGCAGTTTGTGAAAGAGCTGCGATCTGTTGACAGTTGTTCTGTTTGTAAGGAGATCCCTGAGGTCTGGACAGAGACATGTCTTATCTTTCTGTGTTTGTCTCTTGTGCAACATCCAGTGACCTCCTGACCTCTTGTCTGATAAACCACTCTAGAAAATCGACAACTTACCGCTGTTGCTGTACTGATGTGCTTCCAGTTTTACTGCGTAAAAAACGAAGTATTGCATAATAACCATGACATAGAGCTCCTGCTAATGTTGAAAAAAATGTCCGCTTACAGAACCGACTGATTAATGATAGTAAACAAAAAATTTCCCGTTCAGACATTTTATCTTTTCTGTAGTGTTTATTTTTTAATTGCTGAGGCTTCTGTTAAAGACGTCACAGTCATTAAAAGTACCATATTTTCCACCGTATAAGTCGCATCAGCCCAAAAATGTCTAATAAAGTGGAAAAAGCATAAATAAGTCACATCTATTATGCGTCAAAGCTGACCACCCGGAAACGTGGGCCGGTGTTGCGCCAAAAATTTATTGGCTGCCAAATTGGTGGCGGCAAGCGTGCACAGGAGGACTTAATTAACAAGAATTGAACAAGATTAATGCTTAAAAACAATTATTTGTTTGCTCGACATTATAGTAACAGTGAGTCTCTGTTGAACTTTTCTTTAATAAATTCACTTTAACGGTCAAATCAGCTGCATTTCTCCTGGGCGGCGCGGTGAAATGCAGCTGATTTGACGTTTGCTCCAGGAGTTACGGAGTGAGGTGAAGGTGGCTTTATATGGCAAGCCAAGTGTCTCATTAATAGCCACTTTTACCTATTAATGAGACACTTGGCTTGCCATAATGCTCGAGGGCCCTCTAGCAGCTGCTAAGGGTGTGCGATATGGCCTATAATTCATATCCCGATATCTATTGTGATGGGTGGCGGTAACGATATCATGATATGTTTTTGGTATAAAGCTGACCAACGCTTACTTTAACTTTTTACGAAACACAGCGTTTTGCGCATGCGTCCGAATACGGTAACAGTACGGCAAGCCGGACGTACTTAGCTCTCGAGGAAAACAGACTTTAACACCATTTACGCACAGTTTTCAACTCAAAAAAACAGAACGGTTAAATCTGACAACTCTGATTTTACATCAGACACAGCATTATTGCGGTTAGCCGGTAGAAGACCGATCTCTATCACTGGCTAAACGTCTGTCATTTCTACCGTGTACCGCATATATCGCGCATTCCTATCGGCTGAAAATGGTAATGTTTAATGTCATTCATGTTAGAATGAATGAAATTGTCAGATCTCAGCCAAAAATTGGGTTATAAATATGGAGAGAGAAAAAATATTAGTCGTTTCGTTGTATAAGTCGCAGGACTTGCAAAATTATGCAATAAGGTGTGACTTTTACGGCAAAAAATACGGTAATCTTACCAGTAATTGGCTGAAAAATGTAGCATCTTTATCCCGTCTGATTGCAGATTGTTACAAAATATAATTCGTTTTTTTTTTGTTTTTTTTTTTTTTACAGTTTAGCATATCTGTCGATGATAAGAGCACTTAAGTGGAAACACTCTTCCAAAACCAGGAGTAAAGTGGGCTGGGCAGAGCAGCTTAAAGCCAGTAGCTATCAAAAGAAGTGTTTAAAACCACACAGGAGATAGTCGTCGAGTGTCTTTTATTCTCACACTTGGGTTTCTTGTTGGCTCGGTCTGCTGCAGGCCAGAGCCATGTTTAAAAAAAAAAAGCTTATTAAATTATTATTTCTGTCTAAATCATGCAGTTAATATTTTCTGTTTAAGGAACTAGAAGTGTGCCGTGGACAGACTTGGAGACCTTGGCCCTCATCAACATTTGGGGCGCAGACAAAATGCAACTGGATCTGAGAGGAGTGAACAGAACTGGACACATTTTTTCCACCATATCCAGCCAGCTGGCCTCCCTGGGCTTCTCCCGGACACCCGAGCAGTGCCAGACGAGGCTGAAGAGACTCAAATCAGGCTTCAGGCAGTGCTACCAAAACAAGTGTGTGTCACTCACATTAGAAGAGACGACGGGAACCTGTGGGCATTTGTCGTATTATTCACTTGTCTTCTCTTCTTGTTTCTAAATTATAGTCTTAAGGGACAAGAACAAGTTCGGTGCAAGTTTTACAACGAGCTGGGAAGAATTTTAGTGAAGGACTTTGAGTCGTTGATGCAGCTGGACGAAATGTCACTTGAGGCTGAAGAATTTCCTCCCTACCAGGAGATGGGTAAAGTGTCAGAAAATATTTAATTTCTGTATTAAAATTTTAAAAAAGCAGAGCTAATAAAGCCACATTTTTTGATGGAGACCATTTTGGTAAAGTGTAACTAAACAAAATTTACAAACAATTGCAGCTCAAAACCCTTTACAACCATTTAAACCATTCAATGGTTCCTAACCGTGGTCCTTGAGGAACACCATTCTTGATGTTTTAGTTGTTTCCCTGCTCCAACACTCCTGATTTGGTGATTTAATTACACCATGTTCTGCAGAGTCCTGTAAATCACTCGTTTATTAAAATCAGGTGTGTCGGAGCAGAGAAGCAACTAAAACATTCAGGATGGTGTTCCTCAAGGACCAGGATTGGGAACCCCTGCATTAAATTGATCTTAAAGTGAAAATAGCCAAATTTTCTCTTTTGAATACCATGTTTAGTTCTAACAGTAGATGTTAAGATTTCTCATTCGTAATTTGAGGATTGTGTTTTCTTTAAATTGACAAAATGTTCCATGTTTTAAATTCTTAACAGGTTCTACTCACATCCTTCCACCACTGAGGTTGTAGAGCTGTGCTTTAGTTTCTCCATCATGGTCAAATAACTCCACTTTGGTTTTGCTGTTCAGCCTTTTTATAACCGTAATGTCATAAACTTAATATTTAACAGAATGGTTGCCAAACTTGTTAGGTTTTGATCCAAGAAATGCTTGTGACAACATAAAAAATAGCATAATGTCAAAAATATAATTTATTATTACTAATTTATGAACTCTTGTTTTGATTCTTTGTAAGGGGTATGAAGAAATTACCCTATAAGTCAGGGGTGTCCACACTTTTTCAACATGCAAGCTACTTTTAAAATGACCAAGTCAAAGTGATCGACCTACTATAAGGCACCTGTTTACGGAACAACCTCTGGAAATGTTTGTGTTTTTTTTCAATGTTTATTGGGGGTAATAAAAAATCAGCAAGTTTACACAAAAACGCTGTAGTTTCAATGTCAGTCGGGTTGCCAGATAAGAAATTAGGAACTATAGTACTGTTGCTTTAAAATGATAATATTTTGACCTAAACTCTCATATGTACTAAGTAATGGTATTGTAAGGTGAGTTGTGTGTCGTGTTTGTTGAACATGTACACAGAAAAGGAGAGGGTAAATAAGACATTTTAAATGTTATCTGGCAACCCTGATGCCAGGCTTAGCTGCATTCATAGCACATGCAGCGTCTGCAGTGCTTTGATTGAAGATAATATCGCGGAACCACTAGTCAACTGCTTCAACAAATAACTCTTTTACCATCTTTCCATCTTGAAAGGATTTATTGTGCTTAACAATTAATTATTAAGTAACTCACCCAGAATTATGCTTCGGTAGCTGCCTTTGTGGTCAGCTGTGAGAGAAACGACTACTGGGATTTTAGTTCCTTCGCCTTTTTTCTTTCTCTGCTTGCTTAGGTACTACACTCAAAATAAAATTGACCAACAGTTCTTCTTAAAGTTGACAATTTTGACAATAATAATTACTGATTATTGTCAAATTTCAAACAATATTATCGTTTATCGCAATAATGTCAGAGACAATTAACCGCCCAGCAAAAATTTGTTATCGTGACAGGCCTACTCTCAGATTGGCTACCCTGTATGTCAGTCAAGTGACGAATTTCATTGTGAGGATTGATTTAGAGGCCGACGTCTACTTAAAAAAATTAATTAATTTTGATTTTAAAAAGTCTTTACGTTTATTTCACCATGCAATCTACTCAAATTGTCTTTGCGATCGACCGGTAGATCACGATTGACAAATTGCTCACCCCTTCTATAAGTAATTGTTTAAAATGTAAGCTGCAATCTAAGGACCACCACTTGATGTCTTATGACCCATAATGGGGTTCTGACACAAACTTTGAGAACCGCTGATTTAACGTCCATACGAGTTTTCCTGAGCACGCCACCGTTTTGATCTGCTTCCTGTAACTCATCAACTGTTTTAGTCATTTTCCATTTGTGAATAATCTTTCTGTAGAATTATGGCCTTTAAATAGATTGGAATAATAATAATAATAAACCTCTAAAGCTTCTTTTCTAAGAGCAATCGATCAGTTAATTGATTTGTTTAGCAGCGCCTGGATATTTCTGATCTTTTTAATTTTCATATGAACTACAAGGAAGGACTTATTTTCCCCACATTGTTTCTACATTTTAATAAGTGATATGTTGTTTTAATTTGTTATTTCTGTCTATATTGACATTTTAGCCACTAGAAGGTGCTTAAGACATGCAATCAATACAAAACTGAAAATCTTTGCTTATATTATTCATGGTTTTCCGTGTGTTTTCACAGAGTCCACTGTGGGGGTTCAGGAGGACCGGAAGAAAGTTCCGTGGTCCGACAAAGAGACCATCATCCTGCTGGAGATATGGGGAGACACTCAGGTAGAAGTCATTATGAAAGTTCGCCAGTTTAGCAGTTGTGATTTCAGAGGTCTGAAACTAGTCGTTACTTTAATGGCACTACTTGTTCAGATGTGATTGAGATGTTTGATCGCGAGCTTTAAATTTCCCGTGCGTTTAGGTCCAGCAGGGTTTGAGGCGCTACCCGCACAACGGTCACATCTTCAGCGAAGTATCTGAGAAGCTCAATGCTAACGGTTTCTCCCGCACCCCTGAGCAGTGCCACACCAGGATCAAACGTCTGAAATCCAACTATCGCCAGTGTAAAGAAACCATGAGGTGAAAACATTCATTTATTGTTTTTGTTTTCAGCCTGCGCTTGTTGCTTGTGTGTGCGCTCATTCTTGTGGCTTTGACTTCCACAGTTCGTCTGGGACGGATCGAGTCGACTTTAAATTCTACGATCTGCTGGAACAAATCCTAGAAAAGCAGCCGTCGACGTCATCCACCGTGGTGACCGACTCCATCGAAATATCAGAAGACTCAAACCAAGAGTCAGTAGCTGAAACGGGTAAAACATTTTCAAGCTAAACAATTCCGCAAACATCTGGTGTAATAACAGCTGTATGCACTTTATCTGTCCCTCAACTTTCTGTCAGTTGTAGGTTTTTAACGCACAAACCAGGAATGTGTAAAATTATCTTTGCTGTGAGTGAAAGTGCGATGCATTGTTCAAATCGTTGGTTGTTTTGGAAATTAATTTATTAAAATTTTAGACCTTTTTCCAAATTTGAACAAACCACATAGTCAAATAATATTTTTAAATAAATACAATACAATTAGACACAAAAACCGGGATCTGCAGCCTGGTGTGTATCACTTAAAACAATAAAAATATTACTTTATATATGTTCAAAGTATTTAATGCAAAAGCTTATCTCTGGAGAAAAACGTATCATCTTATATGTAACGGTTAAAAGGCCACAAAGGCAATTTTGCTTCGGCTAACTTTTAAAGTTTTGGTGGCAGCGCATAAAACTATCCAGTACTTACTAGGTACATACCTGGTTCTTCACTCTTTTAAGTCTCTTTTAAGATACATACCAGGTAAATACCAGGGTAACAAGTCACTTTATGATACAACCCAGTCCTCATGAGTACCAGATATGCACTCGGTAAGTACAGATACATACTATGAAAGTACCATGTAAGCACCTGGAATATACCAGGTAAGTACCAGACACCTGCCTGATTAGTACCCAGTATGCACCAAGCTGTGTTATGTATTGCCACAGAAGTTTCATAGCTGTACTTTCATTATTTGAGATGAAGCTACGCTGCTCCATCAGATTTTCTGCTGGAGCAAAGCATGATGTATGAAAAATAATCCAGTATATTATAATATGTCTGCTGCACTTCATGTCAGATTAAATTTCATGTTTATTCAAAAGAATTGTTAAATTCCTAAGTATTTGGTCTCGAATGTTAGATGCAGAAACTCGAGAGTCGAGAGAAAGAGCAGCGTCTGGCTCGTGGTCGGAGGAGGAGACGTTGGCGCTTATTGAGATCTGGGGGGAAGAGGACGTTCAGAAGGCGCTCGGGGGTTTCATCCACAACGACAACGTTTACGACGAGATCTCAGAGCGGCTGCACGACTTCGGCTTCTCCAAAACTCCCGAGCAGTGCTGCTCAAAAATCGAGTCCCTGCGGGTCAACTTCCAGCAGTGCTATGAGAAGAAAAAGTGAGCTTGGTCTTTCTATTTTTATTGGGGGCTGCCTAGTAAGGCAGACACCTATTATTATCCACCTAACAAGGGTTTCTTAACTTTATATCTTATCTTGCGTCATCTTTAATGCGACCGAACCACAACGTGTACCCCCCACAAGTGATATCAAAATGACCAGCTCGGCACCGTGATGTGTGTTATTACTTTTATTGGTATTTCAAGTTACCATGGCGACATAATTTGCAAACAAAGAAGCCATTTTTCTCATTCATAATGCCTGACAGAACTCAACAGCTTCTAACTCAGTCATTCTTTGAGATGTTGAGCTGAAATTTGCTCTGATTTTAGCTGAGAGTGAGTTTTCATACATTTCTAATGCAAATTAAAAAGGCAAAATACTTTAAGTCAGCTTATTTTAAAGATATTGAGCTAAAATTTGGTGTGGTGATAGCTGAGAACGTTTCCCATCACGTACTGAATCCAAATAAAAAAAAAATGCAAGATGTCCACCAAAGCTACATTTTAATGGCTTTAACTCGGCTATTTCCACACATATGGAGTTGAAATTTGGTGATGGTATAGCTGAAAACATTCCCCATCACATACTAAATAAAAAAAAAAAAGATGGCCACCATAGCTTAAAAGAACAAATGACTATACTGTAACTCAATGATTTTTTTCATATTGAGCTGATAATTGGTATAGTGGTAGCTGAGAGCGAACCCTTACACGTAGTCCTGTCAAATTAAATGTTTAAATTGGCAGCCGCGTGGCAGTCCCCGTCAAAGTTTCTCCAGGAACTTTCAGTTTTTATCTTATTCTCTCTTCTTAATTCAATAACAACACTTTCACTCTTTCTAGATGTGGAAGGAAAGTAGACTATAAGTTCTACCAACATCTGGAAGAAATCCTGGGACAGGAGGCAACTTCTATTGACGAGTATGACGAACAGAACGAACAAGCTGACCCAGATCCAGGTACCGTTGGGATATTTGTTTTTGCTTGACCAGCATTCTTGAAGGCGCACCTTCATCCTAAAACTGGATGTTTTTGATTGTGTCTGCCTGCAGGAGTTGCGGACGCCGTGAACGCGCCGTGGACCGACGAGGAGACGATCTCTCTCGTTGAGGTGTGGGCTGCTGACGACGTGCAGCACAGCCTGAAGACCTGTGTTCGTAACGGGCACATATTTGCAGAGATCGCTGAGAAAATGGCCACACTGGGCTACCTGAGGACCGCGGAGCAGTGTCAGATTCGCATCAGACGGCTGAAGAAAGCGTACAGACGGTACTGCAACAACCGGAGGTTGGTTAAACTAATGCGTGGATTGTTAGTGGGCTGCTTCCTGTTGTTTTTTTTCTGCTTTCTAACATTTCATGTTTCCCAGAAATGGAGGACAACCTACAGCGTTTCGATACTTTAACCTTCTCGCCCCGGTGCTTGGCGATGACTTGCTGTTTACGGATGCCGACAGTTCTGCAGCTGATGCCACGTTAGAGCACATTCTGGAAGCTGATCCTGCCTTGTGTAGGTTTAAGTTTGTTTATATTCATGTATGCAGGACGCAGCGTTCTCGTCCGTCCATTAATCAAACTGTCATTTCTTAAAGACGAGCAGCCGTCGACCAGCCACCTCCTGACCGACATGAGCAGGAAGATGCCCTGGTCGGACCTGGAGACTCGCACGCTGCTGGAGCTCTGGGGTGAAGACGACGTCCAGCTCACCCTGAGGGGCTGCCTGAAGAACCGACATGTATTTGATTACATCTCAGAGAAGATGGGCAACCACGGGTTCATAAGGACCACGGAGCAGTGCTACACCCGCATAAAGCGTCTAAAATACGGCTTCGTCCACGAGAAGTCAGTCTACACCACACTATTGTTTTTATTCATGCATTGTTTCTTGTAATAGCTTTGCTCATTGCAAACACTTTGTTTTATGATACACAAGTTAAAAGCAGCCCTGTGTTGTTCAAAATGGCATTTTTGTTTCCCATCCTTCGACTTCAGGGCGGAGTTTAAATTCTTTCGTGAGATGGATAAAATCTTCAGGAAGGAGCTGCGAGTGGACGACTCTGCTGCCGAAACATCGTTTGGAGTCGAAGACGACGACTGCGCGTCTGAACTGAGCCAAGTGAAAGGTGGCACTTAACAACACTTTAATCCTCTTGGAAGGTTTTTGGTTTTCTTTATAAGAGCAAGAGGAAGGATATTAATGCACATGGCATGAATTAATTACATCTGTGAAGGTAATTACCGTATGCGTTTTAAATAACACCGTATTTTCCGCCATACACGTTGCTCCACCCTATAAGCCGCATCAGTCCAAATATGTCTAATAAAGTGGAAAAATCCATAAATATGTTGCTTCGCCGTATACGTCGCATCTATTATGTGTCACCGCTGACGACCTGGAAATGTGGGCCGGTGTTGTGCCAAAAATCGATGGGCTGCCAAATGGCGGCCACGAGAGCATGCACGGGAGGACTTTAACAAAAATTTAACAAGATTAACACTTAAAAATAATTATTTGTTTGCTCGAAATTATAGTAAAGGTGTGTCTCAGTCTAACATTTGCTTAATAAATGCACTTTAATGGTCAAATTAGCTGCATTTCAAAACTCGATTTGCGGAAGTAAACGTGTGCGCGCGACGAATCGCTGTGCAAATTTAACAAGATAAACGCCTAAAAGCAATTATTTGTTTGCTCGAAATTATAACAAAGGTGTGTCTCATTTGAACTATTCCTTACAAAATGCACTTTAATGGTCAAATAAGCTGAATTTCAAAAATAGTTAGGCTGCCTCAGTGGTCCCAGGAGCACGCAGAGGGAGGAAATCAGGAAAGAGCAACGCCGCTCGGTTCTTCGAAATTTAGCAAGAAAAGCACCTAAACAATTATTTGTTTGCTCCAATTTATAGCAAAGGTGTGTCTCAGTCTAACGTTTGCTTAATAAATGCACTTTAATGGTCAAATTAGCTGCATTTCGCCGGGGCGGTGCAGCTGGATTGACGGTCAGTCCAAGCAGCGAGCAGAATGAAGGTGGAAGGCTATGGCAAGCCGATTGTGTCAATAATAGCTGGTGAAGATTCTCTGTCATCCAGGACATGGTAAATTCAAAAAAGTTCAAGTCAAAAACAATAAAGTGAAGCATAATAAATAAAGTACAGTTGTTTTTGTATTGAACTTTTTATGAAACATACCTTCACTCATGCTCATAATGATGCAACTCCAAAGGAAAATGTTCACAAAAATATTTATTTTTTAAAGATATAAAGACATGCAACTGTTTTTTAATCCTTTTTTTATTTTTTTTATTTCTGGCATTAAAAAAAAAAAAAAAAAGTTAAATTTCTTAGTTTTAAACTGTTTTGCGTTGGGTATTTATTATCACCCTCCATTCAAAGTAGCCAGTATTGTTTATGTGCATGATTGTCTGCTGTGTTAGCAAAATATCTCATGATCTACTGGATGGATTTTCATGAACCTCTCAAAGTATTATTAGATGCTCATTTACGACATACTTCTTACGCTAAGAGGTTAGAAATATATCTAATAAAGACGTTTTAGTTAGTACAAAGTACACAGGATAGTACTTCTAAAGCTTCACCAACCTGAAATGTCCTTCAAAGCCAACCATTTAAATGGTTAATGGTGTTTGTTTGTTTTAACTGGCAGGTTCGACCGCTTCAGGTAACCAGTGGGTGTCTGACAACCCCAAACTGGCTTGGGGGGACAGAGAGACCGAGACCCTGCTGGACATCTGGGGGAGCGAGGAGATCCAGGAGAACGTGAAGAGCAGTGCCAAGAACAAACACATCTACAAACAGATCTCTCAGGCGATGGCCAGCCAGGGCTACCTGCGCACGTCTGAGCAGTGCCAGTCCAGGATAAAGAGGCTGAGGGCCAACTTCAGACATTTCCTGGAAGGACGACAGTAAGAGCAGTCCTCCACTAATGAAAGCATCAGAATTTTTCATTATTATTCTTATTGTAGCAGGTTTTTTCTGCTAATAATGTGTTGTTTTTTCAGAGGAGAGAAACAGGAGTGCAAGTTTTTTGACCAGATGCTGCAGATATTTGGCAACAAGTATGTTATGAACTCCGAGTCCCTGGCTGATGATGCACCTGAAGTCATAGGTAAGATACGTAGCTGATATTGTTTTATTTTTTTGTTAAATAACCAATTTTACCTTGTTGTGCTGAGATAAATGTGAATTTGTTTATCTGCTGTCTGTTTTCTTTTTAAAATAAAAATCTCTGAGTATAAATTTGTTAGTTTAAACATACTGAGATACTTGAATCTACTATCTCTTTTTCTGGAGCAGTTATTATTAAAAATAAGTCAACTTTGTTATATTTGTTCAGATCATGGGTGCCCAATACGTCGGTTGCAAAAGTATTATGGGTAGATCGTATTAAAAAAAATAAACGTCATCCTATCTTCCATCCTCACTATGAAATTTGTCACTTGATTGACATACAGGCAGACAGTCTGAGGCCCCGTTTACACGACGTGAAAGTTTGGCCGTTCTTTTACAAGTTCAAGTTGTGTTTATTTGTGTTTATTTGTGTTTATTTGTCATATGCAAGGTTAACACAGGCTTAACAGTACAATGAAATGCTTAAGATGAGAAGAACCAATGTGACTCGCTAAAAAAATCAAACAAACAAGAAATACTAAAAGCATGCAATAAGGGTACATACTGTAAAAAAAAAGTACCAAAAAGTGAAAAAAGTAATTATAATATTTACAATGTCCTAAATAGAAAATAGTAAACAACAACATGGTAGAATATAACGGTGCAAGCAGGATGAATTTGAACGAATAAGTATTTCAAGGTAGTAATATAAGCTAAGATGCACACACATATAGATAGATAGATAGATAGATAGATAGATAGATAGATAGATAGATA